CGAATTCCTGACCCGCCTCAGTTACAGTTCGAGTACTGTTGACATTAAACGATGTTTAGATAGTGAGCGAGCGTTAAAGTTCACTACCTATCGCTTTTCGACTGTTTGCTTTGGTCAAATACACTCGATACATCCCCTGAATTTTGCAATAACAGCGGAGTGTATGTCCTTCGATAACATTAAAAGTAAACAAAAATAAGTTATATTTCTTCGTTTAAAGTGCTCATTTCAAATAACTGTTCTCTACTGAGTTTAACCACATGTAGAATTTTCCCTGGGCAAGCAATTATATTAGTCGTATTAACCATCAAAGAAGCCAAGTCATATCAAACTGTTGGGAAGCAGTAGCACAAAGTCATTCGGCCGCGCGTTTGCAGAGCAAGTCTGTTCGCAATTCTCGCCACCAGTCGCAGTCGAGACTCGTAGAGAACATGTCGATAGCCGATACAAAGTTAAGAGCGTATGTTGAGATAATAACAAGTAATCGTGCAAGTTGGATCGCAAGACTTGCGTACTAGTTATCGGCGGAACGACGGTCAGAGTTTGGTCTCGCTCGACGGCTAAAACAATAGCGAATCAAGCATGCAACGGAACTTCCTCAAAGACACCCTCTTGTGCGTGCGACGCTTAGCGAACGCGCTCGACAACTTTATATTGGTTGGGAAACTTGAGCGTTGCCTCGAGCCCTTCATTCACCAGCATAAGGCGTTAAATTAGTCTAAAGTACTGCATTTTGATTAAATTTCTAACACAGCCGCAGAGAATCACGCTCACTTCTCTTCCGTTTAAATTATGATTACAACATTTTAATAATTTCAAATCGCCTTACTTTATATTCTAATGTGGGAGTAATTTTGACGTAAATTCCCTCAAATATAACGAAACAATTACGTCGGCGGATGAAAATATAATCGGTTATTTTTCTCGCGTTACCAAATCTAAAAATAATATTCACCGAGAAAAAGCATTTTTACTTAAACATTCCGGCCAAAATTGTTGTGAATAAAGTTGTCCGCTTAACATTAAATATAAGATCGCTTTAGCGAGGCAGATAGACAGATAAAGACGGCATACATTTTCATGAGAAGAGAAAAAAAATAAAATATAAGCAATCCGTGGTGAAATTGTGAGGGGCAAGTGTGCGTTTTCTGTCGACTGGGGGCAGAGATTGGCAGACAGAGGGGTGGCGGGGCGGGGACGCACAAGGGCCTAAGCGGCAATCAGCTGGCGAGGGAAAGGGCACTCTCGCACCGGACGTTGGAGTCAACATTGCGGGCGCAGGGCCTCCCAGATAACTCTTAATCGGTGCTGGCTTCAGCGATTACACCGGTCGTTCGGCTAATTAATTTTTAAGTCGGCATCGCAGAGCGGCAGCTACGAGTTTCCACTGAATTCGACTACGATTTACATATTATAGGAGTTCTCTTTCTTCCTGTTTGGCTGCCCACGCTGATTCCAAAACAACGGCAAGATGTGAGTCAGTGGCTTATCGCCGCGAGAAAGTCGTAAAAAATATTGAGGAAAAGGGGTTGTTTTAGGATCCCAGCAATAACCTGTCAATACGTCTCCACACATCAAAATACAACTGGGAAATGTGGTTTCGGATTGTACTTTTCCTTAATAATTGAATTTTTTATGCATGTCAAATTCCTTTTTTCGTACATATATCTAGATGTAATGGGTATTGACATTCTTCTATTTTGAGGTTTGAGTGTATTGTAATAAAATTTTGTTTGCTTTATTAGTTTAAAAAACAAAAAGTCATAAAGATCCATATTTTTTTTATTTTAGCCAAACTTATTGGATACCTACTACATTCTGAATCAAAAGTGATACTTTTAAAATTGAACTAAACTTATACCATTCAATTTAGAACTCCATATAAACCCAAGAACATCATCTCACTCAAAAACAAAGATCAAGTCAAGTATCAAGTAGACTTTATTAATTACATGACCGAAGTTGAGGTTGTACCTATCCATTTCGAGCTAATACTGTTACGCATAGATCTATGTCAATTATGGTCAATGTTTGACCATGACTGACGGATGGTGACGCTAATGGTAAACTTCGTGACGCCTGTAATTGACATGGCTAGTAGGTCGTTACTAGTTAGGTTACACGATCTGATAATACAATATTCATGTAAGTAGAATCAAAGATGAATAAAAGATGGGGTAAATAAATTACTGTCTTTGTTCTAGGATGAGCTCGACTGGTGAGCGAAGACTTGGAGTCCTAGAACATGCTGAGTGTGGATTACACTACCTGCTGAAGTAGATTGAAATGTTTTGAAAGATAACTGATACCTAAAACATTTCCGTTTTTTCAAAGATCAATAAAATAAATCTCCCAAATCCCAACAGTAGATGAAGTAAGTAAACCGCTAAAATTCATAAAGAAACTCGCTCTTGAATAACACCCCGAAAAGTAACCACGACTTAAAATACAATTTATCACTTAATATTCGTACTCAGGAAGATAACTCAAGAACAACGTGAGCGCTTCATACACAACGGGATTTGGCAAATTACCTTCACCTTAAAACTGTTTCAGAGAATGTATGCGCGGAAGTAATTTCCCCTACGTGTTTGTTTTAAGTTAAGCGTTCGCGCGCCATAAAATTAACCCGGTGCAATCTGTTCTTTTTTACTCGCCACATCTGTGCAGATTAAACTACTGAAGGCACGTTATCTCCATAACTCTTTACTTCTGTCCCGGCAGTCCCACTTAAAAGTTCAATGGAAGAATGCTCTCACGGAGCAATCTAGCGAACAGATCGCTATTATGCATGCGATAGGCAAAACTGTGCCGTGACGGACAAAATTTGCAAAGACCGATCGGCCCATAAATCCGGCGGTTCCTAAACCCTTGAAAGGGCATCGTCGAGCAGCTTTCATCAGAAAATTCGCCATTATCTGAAGGAAATCGTTACCGGGGTTGAACCTCGCCCACCCCCGGCCCGACCGGCTTTCATTTACGGCGTTGCGTGCATGCGTCCCGCGGCCTTTGCTTCAGGTGGGCGTAGTCATTGTGTTCAGTATTTAAGTGGCTCATTTGATATTCTGAGACAGTTTGCATTCGAAAAGCTCGCACGTACGGAACCGGTATCGGGACATCGAAGGCACGGAGTGCGTACTCGCTGACATCAGCCCCCGAGCCGTAGTGCGTATCGTCGTACCGTCAGTAGTCACAACACTCCGTCGTGAATGTGATCGCACGTGATCGGGCCACTCCGTAAGATTTTGCTCGGTTCGCACGAGCCACACGCACGCGCCGAGTTTGCGCAATGTTTATCCACAAATACACTAATGAAGGCACCTACAAAAGCGACTAGATTGTTAATTAAACTTGCTCAAAATGTGACACCCTTACGAAATGACGCCGGCCCGGGAGCACAGTGCACGGCTTCAATGTTATTGAATTAATTTGTAATCAGAATTCTCGGTGTGCGTTCTTGAATGTAATAATGGTATTTTGTAATTTACTTCCATCCATACTTATGTATTCAGACTTTAGGAATAGCTGCCATTTAAGGTTCTATTTTTTAATATTGTATAAGGAAAATCTTTTATACGATCCAGAATAAGATCAATGACAAATATTGTGCTTATTTGAAGTTAATATTCTCAGATCGTAATTTCGTAATATAAAAGAAGGTAATAGGATCTAGTCGTAAGAGTTTTGTATACTTATATAAAAACTCGGTGAAGGTACCTTGGTACCTACCTACAATAGAGTATGTTGTAACAAAGTTATTTTTGTAACTCACGTGTTCCAATTTACCGTCATCAAAGTGAAACAGACCATCGCTCTGAGTCCTAAGATTTATTTGTCTCGTCAGTTTTTCTTTGCATCTTGTATTTAATTAGAATAATTACGATTACAAAATATTTCGTAGTCACAAAAAGTAATTCAAAAGACCCCATCATTAGGCCGTCGACCAAAAGGAATAACCATTCCCTTAATCATTATTCTTAAAGACTCTTCATTAAATTCCTTTTATCTCTCCCGGGATATTTCCTTCGCTTGGCATCAATCACATTCACTCCGAAAAACTCGTTGGCTTTATTCTAAACTCTCATAATAGGTAATGAAGGTCTTGATCGTCGCGGCCGGCTGCCGGCTGCCGGCTGGCTCGCTCCGATTACTTTGAGAGCTGGCACAATGACTCCCCGGCTGTAGCCAATGTTGAATTCTGAAAAGTTCCTTAGTCCGCATCCATGCTAGATACGGGGCTAATTACGACGAAACTTTTGTAGATAGACACCTGCGCTGAGTCGCGGCCGCCAGACAAAGACCAACTTATCGCAGACTTACAGGCACGCGCGCAACGCCACGCGAATATTAACTTTAAATAGTCACACAAAGATCCCTTTTCCTACGACACCATCAAAGAAATGAAGCGATAGATCGGTGCTAAGACGACAGTCTTATTCAATATCGACCTGAGACAATAATGGCACAAAGAAATTGTTTCCTTGATTTAAATCTCTGCTTTGTTATTTAGTATCCATTAAAACAACATTAATTTACTTGAAAGCTTCAATTTCATATAATGGCCTTCGGAATAAAAACAATGTACACCTACAGTTTAATCGCTCGGAACTAAGCTGTTGTATTATGAATTTCCATCAGAACAAGTGAAGCGAACATATAATCACAATAACACAGTTTGCAAGTTTGACCGACGCGCCAAATGTGAGGGTAACGTGTTTAATTATTATGTGCACGGAATGATTTAGCTGCGGGATAAAATTAGCGTTGCCTAATAACAAATGAGACATGACAGTGCAAATTCAGTACACTTTTCCAAAAAGTTTGGTGTAAATTAAATTTGCCGAGCGAAGTTGTCTCAACTTTGCGCGCACGACGCGGCCGCGTTGCGTGAATATGTCGGCTAAACGCTTCTATTCGTTCTGCTAATGGCCGGAGCTTCGTGCTACTGCAATTTTCTATCCCGAGTAAACGAGTTGATACAAAAGAATGCTGGTACTTACCGGTCCGAATTGTTCGAAGTAATTCTTTACGTCTTCAAGCGTTGTGGGTGCCGATAGCCCGCCTACAAAAATCTTCTTTGTCCTGGTGACCATCTGCAACAAAACAATTTCAATCAATATATTTAAAGCCAAAAACACGATAACGATGAATCAACACATAAAAAAACAATTTTTATTTTCAAGTATTGAAATAAAATATTTTATCTACGAGTTATGTTTTCGAATGAATTCCGCTTTTATATAGTATTTATTTTGATATAATATATGACCATCGGCTTATATGAATAGTAAGCACAAAAGGGAGTATCGATATGTGTGGATTCTGCATAATTTGTTGGGATAGTTCATAACGGAAAAACAATTGGAAGCAAAGTGAAGGCAACGCACAGCGGGCGAGCGAAATGTTCAAATAATTACTGTTAATACATTATGCAATCCTCCCGCGGACGTTACTCAGGGATATTTCTGAAGAACGCATAATACATAATGGCTCAGAGGGATAATAGCGACCACACGCCGGCACTGTTGTTAAACTGTGTTCAGACTTGTTCAGTGAAATTTGTTTGTTTAGTTTAGTCTGATAATAATTTCTTTGCTGAGTCTTCACTAATTTACTTACGACTACCTCCTGAACGTTTATTCAGCGCATAATCAGTACACAAACTGTAGCTAATTTATTTATTCAATGGAAATTGTAACAATCAAAGCGTTTAAAGAGGGATTTCATTAAAATGTCAATATCGGTGCACGGCTCAAACTCAAAGGAGAGCTGCTGGTTTTTTCTTGAATATTTATGCGCAGTAATAACGAAGGAAAAAATGCACGCTGCGTCAACATAACAATGGTAGTCGAGTTTTTACGGGGCTTCCTATCGGTAACGAGGCTGGAAGCTGTGCTCGATACTATAATTATGACGCCCCGACAAAGTTACCAGATGTCGTACGACATGAAAGGGACTCAGCCGACATGAAAGGCATTTACGTATCATATGACCGGTGTAGTGAACGACAAAAGTCAAACAATTAACCCCCTGTGTGCTGTTGTTCTGACGTTTTTCAAACCCAGCGGTCGCTTGTGGAAATGTGGACTCAATTTCCACGTATTGTTAAAGTTTACTCGTTTAGACTGATAGAATGATGTCAGCTGGTAAGTTGGGCCTTGAGAATTAAAATGTTTATAGCCTCCCCCAACAGGTAATGTCATAAGCAAAATTTTGTGCGGCAGTAAATATATTTTACACGGCAAATAAATTGCCAGGCAGTACTTCAAGGACACAATCTCATATACCCGGCGAGTTTTTAGTAAAATAATATTGCCACCGTATAACAATACGTAGGTACAATCCCTTAAACCTTTGAGGCACTAGAAACGAGAAATATTATTACGTCTCAGAAAGGAATCCCTATTACTATGAGTGGCGAAAGATAATAGCGCTGTGGAAATTGAATAAAACAAGATTCGGTAACGTCTAATGTAACTAATGTAAGTGAGTAAGAGGGCCGGAGTTCTGGGACGATCCCAAACGAAATCACACTCAAATGTACGTAAATGATGAATAAGTGGCATGGCGGGGGTGAGGAGCGGCAGGCGGGGGGTGGTCTACGTGTCCAAGTGGTGTCCTCCGCGCCCCGCGCCCCGCCTGCCTGTTCTCTGTAAATCTCAAGTGTGACAACGCTTGCCTACTCCCCCGTCATGCTGTCTCACGGAATCAACGCGTTTTTCTACTGTTTATTTTACACTACCAACGTCCCGAGATAACACTGCTAAGAAATGTTTCAAATATTTCCAGAAAGAAGTAGAAATTCATGCCTGTTTTTCTTCCCGAAGAAGTATGTATGTATGTCTCCAATAACCGTTACTTGACAAAGGTGTCCGTAATCCTACAGAGTGACTTAAATATCATAGTTTTGTATTAGGAACATAAACCAAAGTTTCAATCTCAAATAAATCTACGTAATCTTATAAAAACGTTCTAACGGAGAAAAACATCAAACTAAAATCCGATCACAGATCAATACTTTGAAAAAACAAAACGTGGAGTATATAAAAACACTATAAAATCGAAAGGTAAACGTTATTTAGGCAGGCGCCAAAACAAACAGCATCTTCGGTCGGTTCAATGACCTCGGAATAAGAGAAATAAACTCTTGAAATTGCAGTAACCAACACCATTTTATGATCACGAGCATATCCGACATTCGTACAGAAATAACTAAAATGTTACTACCACTGTGTTGCTTGACATACTTTATTAAATTCTGTGTTATTAGGCAATCAAACAAAGGTTACTTTGTTACATTATTGTCTTTGAAAATGACTCAGACGTTTGAAATTTCTCTAATAATATCATACCTTTCTATAATGAATTAGAGCGATATCATTTAATGTGCTTCATTGTCATTGCCAAATTATGACAGTTCACTATTTGAGAAGAATAGTCAAGCACTTTTGGGACATTTGTCCGGTTAAACAGTAAACGGCATTAACATGTTAAACCATGAGTAGTCCATTAATAAAATATTTTCTGTATCTGACATTAGTGAAAGAATACAGTCTGTGTTACATCTGACCATCATCAATTTCAATCCATTCATAATGACCTAATTGACTGAGATCTCTCCAAATCTGTACTGGGTGTATGTCAATTGACTGAATATCCCTTTGTGACTTTTCATGAGAAAAAACAGTTTTTTGCAAGTTAAATATTTCCGCCCGCTTTTCCCACAATTGAATAGTGATGGTTTCTAAATTTTTAACATGGCTTTATGCGCCCCTAAGCACCGTAAGCTACCTTGATATCATTATTATGTTGTCATAGTTACAACCGTAAGTCCGTAACCCCAATGCAAGCAATGAACGTATAAAATTTTTAGGGGAAATATTTCTCCGTGTTCAATATAAATGATATACTGCGAAGAGCCTATAAAAAGAAGGTGCAAACGGATCATGATCATACTTTTTTTATTTATGTATAGGACAGGCAGTTACTGATCGATAGCCGCAATGCCAGGGTAATGTTCGTACTGATCACAAAGATCACAACCCTTTTGACCGTAAAATACGAAATTTGATAGATTTATATTCAATACCAAGACATGCGATATGGGAATTCAGCTATATACATATATATCTATAGAACTGAACAACCGCAATTCAGTACTTAAGTACGGAAATAGACACGCTAATAATCGAATAAAACCAATGTCAAGCGGTAATACGTGGAATTATCATTATAGAATTTTGATTAAACTGATTAACAATAATTACGTTTTGAAGTTTGAATATTATAATCACGGATTCATATGAAAATACTCGGGGAGCGATAAATAAAAATTTGATTAAGCGGCATTTATAAATGGGATTGTAAAGGGTGGTCCTACGGGAGCGAGTGTCAGGCTTGCCGGCCGCCACGTCAGCCCAAACAGTTGGCAATTACCTTAAATGTGGACAACGCAGTTCACTCCATTGGGAAAATTATTATTCACCGCATATCCAATTTTTAGCTCGAGTCTCTAAATTGGTACGCGGTACCTTTGATTGCTCGTATTAATTGTCAACGCTGCCGCTGACAATTGCGTGCTACCCTAAGTTATAAAACTCTACGTATAATTATAAATGCGTCGAGTTTTATTATACATATTATGTAAATTAATTTTTATTGAAATATTATTCAGATATTGTATTTGAAAATAAACTAAATTGAGTTATGTATTTTTGGAAATTGAATGACAGATGGTGGAAAATTCGGCTTTTATTTTGCACTTATGATGGATACAGACATTCACGTAATAACCTTAAAATAAACAAAAAGAAAAAATCAAAATTAGTTTATTTTTAATTCAACTACATATTGCAACAGTGCGCAATTCAACATTTTTGGTACGTGCATCGTCCGCCAAACAACATTAGCGTCGAGCTCGTTAGAACGCGGCAGTAACTAGCAACGTCACAGTCATTTTGTTGTGAAAAATACAACAATTTAATTTAGACTAACTTGACCAGAGGCGGCAAACACCGAACGGCCGCAGCACGACAAAAAGCTACACACACCAATTACGAGCGGCGCGCGGCGGCCAGCACGGCAGCGTCCCTTTAGCGGCGTGCCAGCTTACGAGTTGCTCTAACTCAATTCATAATGTGCCACTACGAGCGCGCACAAATTTTTACGTTCCCAACCAACAATGTTCTCGCACCGCACCGAAATTGTCGCCACCAATATTTTCAGTAATAAACGCCATAAACTTTATCGGTCGAAAAATTAAAACGTTCGTACACGTGCATAAATACATTTTTCAACCGTTTACACTGAAGGAAGTAAAATATAACTGTGTGTACTGTACAATGTTTTTATTCTGAACGTATTCCGCTCTGCAGCACAACGTGACAACACCATGAAACTAAACGCATAAATGCATCCAACGTCAGCACTCGCATTCGTACAATTCCTTCGAACAGTTATTTTTTATTGCTTTAAATCCACTCTGCATCGCACACCTTTTTCGTTCTTTTTAAAAAAAGTATTACAGTGAAATCCAGTTGAAAACATTTTCTTTCAAGAGTTCTCTGCAACATGAAAGAGTGAATATACCACTTATTGCGGCAGAGGCGGTTGGGACAATATTAATCAATTTTTACACAGAGAATTTGGGGGGATCGTCGCACAGGCGAGGGCACAAAGGTCGGCCGGCCCACCCGACGCTGACGTTGCATTTCATTTTTGTTTGCCCACAGCCTCTGGCCCGCTTGTCTGTTCTTTGTCTTCCTGAATAAATGCGTATTTTTGAAGCACCTATTTTTCATTATTACTACACCCACAGAATAGAATGTGACCTCTCCCTATCATTCATTCAATTTTTTGTTCACTCTACTTTGAGCGGTTTTGTCGAAAGCTCTGGTGAAAGTATTTTATTGGAAACGTAAACTTGATTTTAGTAAATAAACTGGCGTTCTGTCGTGAAAATTCTCGTTACAAAATTCGAACAGCGCACGAAACGCTTGGCATACATGTGCCATGTGCAAAGTTTATCTTATTCGTTGGCAACATTATAACTGTATCTAAACATGTAGCTGTAGCGTTTGCCTCAGCGCAGTGA